GACAGCGCTGTATATATATATATATATAAAATCGGAGCCTCCGGCTCCTAAGCCTTCCCTATCTGGTCTCGACTTTTGTCAATCTAACTCCGTTCTCGAGATTAAGGAAGAACAAACCGACAGATGGACGCCATTGAGAATTTATATGCCTTCAATTTGAAAATTTCAAACTAATTATATCACTGAATCACTAAAGCTATGAAAAATACAATGTTTTGTTTTACGTTGGCTTCCTTAACGACGGTTAGTTTTAGGTTAGTTTCACGTGCCTAACACTTAAATAGGTGATTAGTTTCCCATAAAAACCCTTCCCACGAGGCATTACGAGCATACGCTGCGTTGTCTTACGCAATCTATCCAAACCATTTTGTATCTTCTGTTACTCAGTGGAATCATGAAAATGGGATTCATTCCGATGTTAAAAAACAATGTCCGTTTTACTCTTTTCGCCCTGTGGGCACTAAGAGGACCATTTTTCAATTCACCCAGGCCAACAATTTTGCCGGTGAGGCGATAAATAACAGGAGGACAAACAACAGCAAAATAATATCTAGGTTTTTCGACCTATTTGAGTCCACAAAGCGGAAAGCTGATGCATTACCTCCTCGACCACCATCTTAAAACGATCAAACGTTCGTGTTACGTGTGATTATCACACAGACTCGATATTATGTAGTTTATCTAAAAAATGATAAATTTATCCACTTTTAAAACTACAAATTTTAAAAACAGCGATATTTCTCTCGATAACATGAAATTATAGTTTGAATTCTTAAATTATATATCTTAAACTATATGAATATATATATAATTTCCTATAAAGACATAAATAATTTTAATAAAAAATAAACAATCATGTCTCGAAATATAGTCTAATATAAACACGAAACAAACTTTACTATAAGATAGGAAAGTAGAACGATGAACTTCCAATCTCATCCGGATGATATCTTCGTAAGATTTATTTTAGTAATATTTTTTTTTAAAATGTGGATCCTTTAAATCCTATCGGACGTTAACAGACGGAAGTACACACTTACTTCGCAAGGGCTTACAAGTAAAAGACTGTCTGTTATCAGAGTTACGATTTTTATTTTTTGGAAAATAAATTCACTCCAAAATATAAATTCCTCTTAAAAAATCCTTTTTAACCACACAGTTTAAGTTTGTTAATAAGTTAATAATAAATTTCGTAGAGATATGCATAATTTTTAATTAAAATATAATTAAAGGTGAATTTGCCTCTAGAGGAAAGTTTAATTTCTGTTTAAAATCTCTCACTTTTAATGAATTGTTTTAAACCGTAAACGAGAAAATGTTAATATCTTTTGGATTTTACTTTAATTAAACACAGCAGATGTTCGGATTTTCATTTAGAGTATGATTATTTTCATTTTTTTATTTTTATTTTTAAAGATTTAAAAGTCAGTTTATGTACAGTACATATTAGTTAATATATGCTGTACGTAAGTATATCATACGTAAATGATTTTTTTTCTTTTTTTTTAAATTAAAACTTGAAGTAAAATACGAGCAATTATTTATTGTGAAGTCACAATGCAGGGCTGCAATTTTTAATCATATTTTCAATTTAAAATCACGTAACTTTCAGTCCAGACCGGAAGTTCGTATATAGTTAATTGCGGTCTCCGGTCCTCAAGCTTTCATATCTGGTCTTGATTTTCATCAAACGCCGTTCTCGAAATTTATTAAGGACTGTTAAACAGCCAGACGGACGACAGCGGAAATGTTTAGGTGTGAAATTTGAAAATTGCAACCCATTTAAAGGTAAATCAATAATTATACGAAGAACAATATAGCTTTAACAATTGCACTTTTTAGGAACTGAAATTGGTTTTTAACAAATATACGAAATACGAGGGGTGTTCAAAAAGTATTGGACCTTTTGTCGGCAAAAATACATTTATTGATTTTCAGGTACAAAACCCTAATCCCCTTCAAAGTAGTCTCCTTGGTAATGTATACACTTCTCCCAGCGCTTCTGCCATTGCTGGAAACACTGCTGGAACGCATCTTTTGGAATGGCCATCAGCCGGTCCGTCGCATTCCGCATGATGTCTTCTCTTGACTAAACTCGGGTTCCTTTTAGCGGCATTTTCAGCTTGGGAAATAGCCAAAAGTCACACGGAGCCATGTCTGGAGAGCACGGAGCGTGACGAACCACAGGAATGTTGTGATTGGCCGAATCAGGTGCGCAGAATGGGCGGGTGCGTTATCATGATGGAGCTACCAAGTTTTGGTTGACCACAGATCCGGTGGTTTGCGTCGCACAGCATCACAAAGACGAAGAAGGGCCTCCTGGTAGTACTCATTTGGTTTGGCCTTGTGGTACGTACTCACGATACACCATCCCACGGGAGTCGAAAAAAACTGTCAACATGACCTTAACATTGCTGCGGACCTGTCGCGCTTTTTTTTTTCCTCGAGGATCGTCCCCGAAAGCCTGCTGAATCTTGCGAATGGTTTCCGCTTGGGTATCGCCAAGCTTTTGGCAAAATTTGATGCAATATCGCTGTGCACGTTGTTCAGTCATTTTCCAACTTACTTGTTAGTGGAATCCGACGAGCGCTCACTATACGTCCTCACTCATAGGCCGACTGCCAGCGACTTACGCTTCCTGCAGGCGGGAACAAATTTAAGACTGTGCATGACTGTCCCCTTCACAACTCCACCGAAAGAGACCTTCCGTGCATAATTAGTTTAAGCGAGAAAAATAAAGGTCCGATACTTTTTGAACACCCCGCGTATAAATAAAATATTTAACAAGATAAACATATCAATTCGTATCTTTAAATATAATTTAGTGGGCCGGATAATCGAGACGGTTAAGGCCTTAGTCTACCGCTCTGGGTGACCCGGGCGGTCGAAAATTACCTGGACTTCTTCTGTGTTTTGTCTGGATATGTCGGGTACCTTTGTGGGCCTGGCCAATCCGCGATGAACGTAAAAAAGGTTCTCTTCGCGCACACAAGACATAAAGAGTAAAAAAATACATCTAAATATAGGATAGTTCCCCATAGATGTCCTCATTCGACACAGTGTCCTTGTGTTGCTTTACCTTATCCCAATCCAATGCAAACCCTGTTCTTACCAGGATGAAACTAGACAGTTTAGATCAAATCAACTTTCAAAATTTCTTAGGATCTGGATTCTCAAGAGCGCCAAGCTGAAATCTTATCTGTTAAAATTTTTATCTGTAAATTGGATTAATAAGGCACATTGGCGATCTGTCAAGAGGAGATGATTCCAGGATATATTTTTATGGAAAACGGACTCTATTCAGGTGTTAGACACTTGAAGAAAACCCGGAAAACTTCAGCCCGTTAATTAATGAGGCGCGAACCCGCGACAAACTACTAATATTCAGTGGTTTATTCCATATAGTCAAGCCGTTGGTCACCCGCGACCAACTACCAGTTTTCATTAGTTTATCCATTCGGTCACGGGTGGACTTTCCGTGAATTAGAAATACGATTCACAAGAAAATATAATTGAATATTTTTTCCTACATCAAAAGAAATAAGGACCAATTGGGATATGTTGTATTTATTTTAAAGTACTTACTTGTATATTGAAACATTTGACCACTTGACCATTCGTAACAATTTTCATAGGTTATGTCATTTCCACCGATCCATACTGCCGTCTTGGGTGACAGATACGCACTGAAAATACAAAAAAATAAATAAATAAAATAACCACTGACGAGAAAAATGGCCATTATTGGAGGTTTTACTGAGTATTAAAGATATTTATTTATTAAATTTTATATTTATGAGAAATAACTCATTCTTATATCACTTTATTAGAAAATTTATTTTAAAAATAATTGTAAAAAAAGAGAACTCCGTTTATTCTTTTGTTCTTCATTGTATTAGAAAAAAAGAATTCTCTCACTTTCTTGAAAGCTATCTTCTCTTAAAGAGAAAAAGAATTGTTCTTTATGTTCTGTAAAGATTGGGTTAGACTGGAATAATGGGATAATGCAATCTACCGGGGGAATGCTTCCAGGGTGGACTTCTATGGGAAATTAGCTCTTATTTAGGTGTTAGATACGCAAAGAAAACTGAAACCTCCACGGGACCAGCCCATTGATGAGGTGCTAACGTACGACTGACTTCAACTGTTTAGTGGGTTTATTCACTCGGCTATTAGTAGGCAAATCTCTGTAAAGAGGAAAATGTAATTTTGATAAGCAAAAACTATAATTTATAGTGAGAAATGGAAAGTTTATTAATTGAGTAAATTTCTTCATAGACCTATACAAATATGGTGTTCCGTTATCTTTACTTAAGAAGAAATTAACTAATCTTTTCAATAAATTGAAACGTAAAAAATTGGGTGAGAGTGATGAAAGTAATAAAAAGTGCAATTTAAAGGTAGCCATGGATGTTTTGATCAGTTTTTGAGACGAGGACAGTTTAAAAATTGCTTTAAAAAGCTTAAAAATTTGTTGTTTTCATACGGCAATGCAGGCTATATGCCAAGTACGGATGCATCCCGAGGATTTCTATAGTATTAGTGTAAATGTAATTTTCTACTTCGGAAAATATATTTACACTAATTAATTATGAAATGTTTAAGATTTAAAATTACAGAATAGATTAAATTGATTTATACGCTTGCAAACGAAAATTAAAATTACTTTTTATAATTATTTTATTTATTTTAAGTCTCTCTTGTATAAATTTCCCTCCGATGCTCTTATCTACTTTCAAGAAAAATAAAATGGTTAAGTGTGAATAAATCAATAATGGGAGATAAATTATATGCTAGACCTTTATAGATTTTAATTATAATAAAACTAATTTAATATTTAGAGATAATTATAGAAGCGAAAGAAAATAACTACTCGTACGTAACTGGAATTAGATGTTTATTAGATTGCCTTTTATGCAAATTATTGCTTGAGTATTAACTGGTCGAACTCGTTTTATTAACTAAAGCGGATTATTTAATGATTATTTCATTTAAATTTTTGTGTTTTTATAATATCATTAAATAGATTATTACTAAATCAATATTTAGAAAAGAAATTTGTAGAGTATAATTGTCAGTTTATCAGATAATTGAATATGTCAGCTGGCTCACCAATGACCAAGTGGATAAAATCATCGAGCACTGGTAGTCGGTCGTGGGTTCACGCCTGACCAACAGACTGTTTCTGCTTGTAAATTGGATTGGATTATTTGGTTACGGCAACGCGACACGTGAGCAATCTGTCGAGGGGGCTGTCTCTCGGGTAGACTTTCTATGGGAAACTGGCCCCTATTTAGGTGTTATTAACGTGAATAAAACCAGGAAAACTCCACGTGGCCAGCCCGTTGGCGAGGGTGCGAACCCACGACCAACTGTGTTCAATGGTTTTTTTTTAATCCACTCGGCCACTGGTGGGCCTTCTGTTTTTAAATTCTTAATCCTTATTTTCGTATATAAAGTATTAATTTTTACTTTAATAAGCTACATTACTTTATTTTCGTATTAAAGTATCGATTTTTTCAAACAACCTTAATATAATGACAATTTGCATATTTGATTTATTACCTTCAAGTTAATGGAAGTCAAGTTTATAATAATATCTTTTATATATAAGTTGATTAATGATGAAAGAAGTAATAACAAAATTAATATTATACTACGTAGAGTAACATTATATCGTATATTTATGAAGTAAAGTATAGTACCTTTTGGAAGCGAATTTCTTATAACTTAAAATTTCAATCTAATATCTTTCAATTGGCAATTTATATGGATTTTAAAAATTTCTTTACTAGATTTTTTTACTAAATTTAATATATACTTTATTTTATATAATCTCGAATTTATATTAATCTTATTTTATATAATCAAGAATTATTGTTAACTTTAGATTAAAATTAATTTCAAATTAATATCTTAATGAAAAATTAAAAATTTTACAATAATTTGAATAAATCATTCATGTAAAAGCTAATTTATTTACTTGTGTAAAAATTCTTACAATAAATAATTCTCACAAATTTCTTTCTCTGTAGATATAAATTAACAGCAACTTCTTATATTTTTGCTCATAATTTAAGTTACGACTTTAGCCATTTCAATTCGGTTCCTTATGTTTGTGAAAAATTATAAACTGGCCTCTATTTAGGTGTTACTAACGTGAAGAAAAACTCGAGAAACCACGTAGCAAGCCCGTTGGCAAGGCCCGAACCCACGACAAATGGGAAATGGATTATTGTTACTACGTAATATTTCAAGAAGGTTGACATCATCATCTTCAAGAGCTTTAAAATAGATGATTTTATATTAAAATCTGCATAAAATTCGTTAATAATGCGTACGAACTCATTACTTTATATTTTGTAATTTAATTGCAATTTATAATGCAACTCGGTGCATTGTTTGAGACTAATATGTCCTTTAATATTGGATAAAAGCACTGAACATTAGTAGGGATCGTGGGTTCGCGCCTGACTAATTGATCGGCGCGTAGAGTTAACCGGAATACATGTTTAATACCTAAATAGGGACCTGTTTTCCTTAGAAATTCCTCCCGTAAAGATTTGTCTTTCTCAGATCGCTCGTGTTGTATTTGCCGTATAATATCATATACTGTTCACCAATAGACGTCTGTATATACAGAAAGGTAAATATTTAATCAAATTCCTGTCGTATAAGTATAAAGTAAATGATTAGGGACCCGGCAAAATGTACTGTATATCATACAAGAGATCTTCGAACTCAAAAAGTTTAAGATTTTCCGTCATCTGGACCCAGAGGCGGACTAAGGCTAAAGCGGGCCCTAGGCAACATTGTAATTCCGGGCCTATTTTTAAAATTAAAAAATTAAAAACCTAATTTTCGGGCCCCAAAAATTACGGGCCCTAGGCACGTGCCTAGGTTTGCCTAGGCCTTAGTCCGCCCCTGTCTGGACCGTTGACCTGATTATGAATTGGTGTAGGAAAAGTGATTAGACTGTGAGTAGATACATAAAGGCACACATCTGATTGTGAGTTGGCATCGGAGTGATTAAATATGAGTGGATACATGATGGCACGTATTAACTTGCAGCCAGGTTCTGGTCATCCCAGACAGATCATTCGGAGGAATGATCGTCTGACGAATACGACCAGCTACAACTGGTCATTGTCTACTATTTAGATTATGTGAAAATCTTGCTACGGAATTTTGTCCTTTCGTGCACCATTGGCAAGAGACTAGCATAAGCAAATTGCAAATTTGCATACACGGGATCGTCACACCTCCTGCCATTAGCACTCTAAGAGCCTGTAGAACCACAGGTGAACAATATGCTTTTGTGTTGAGCGGCACATTAACCCCACAACTCGGTACTGTTTAGAGAACCATCTAGTATAACAGTCGGTCACCACTAGCAGTAGTACATTTAGGAAATCCTAATCACTCGTGTTGCCTTTCTTGATAGGGCTTCAAACAGCCATTTTCCAGCAAGATAATGTTTCTTCCTGTGCCAAAGTTATTTTGTTTGCTCAGTGTTCACACTTGACATCCATCGAGCATTTATGTGACAAGATGGGACACTAACTTCTGCCATCCACAAGTGTAGGGAGGCAGACGCAACACTTGTGAGCAAATCTGTCGCAGGATACCGTACGGTAACTATATTCCTGCGTTTCCGACCGCATCGCCTCACGTACTCAGACAAGAGATGGTCCTAAAAGATGCTAAATGTTTCTTTAGTAAAATAACTCCATACTCTACTCTGCTATTTTAATGATCAATTATAAACTCAGATTTTTCATTTATTTTCAATACATTTTCATTTATTTATATTGGATACAATATTTATTTTAACTGTAAGAAAACAAAACTTTAACAAACGGCTGCTGGCTCAGCTGGATCTCTTCATTTGGGTCAAGATAGCAATTATCAGAGTACTATTCCTAATTCCTGGGAATCCCTACGGTGATTCCATTACCGGTTGTCATTGATGTGTGTTCAAGCGATCAAACGTCACAAAATACAAGAAAGATTTTGTACGGAATACAGTATTTCAATCTCTTTAGTATCTCCAATTTTCCTTTTTACTTCTGACCTTTACTTCTGATCACGAATTCATGATTGGACTACATATTATAGGCTTATACTGTATATCTTGACAGGAAGACACCCCGGCAAGTTGTATCTAGACTTATTTCACTTACCACACTCCAGGTAGGCATCGTAATGTTCGTGTGATAAACATACTGCAAGGATATATAATTACTCAAAAAGTTTAGATCTTTTTGTCGGATGGTTGGTTTGTTCGTATATGACGATGTGGCACATGGGCGCTTTGCCGAGGAAGATGCCTCCCGGGAGGGATTTTATGAGAAAATGGCTTTTATTGACGTGTTAACTAACGAACTTCTACTGTACTGTACATAGAATTAGAAACATCGAATTAAACTAAAAATGATGTAAACAGAAATTAAGTTTAATACAAAATTAAACTTAGATTTGATATGTAAGGAAATTGATTATTAATTTATTATTCATTTAAAATGTTTATTTTAAAACTCTATAGACTTTTATAACTTCTCAATTAGGAATGAAGTATATTCAAGTATAAAAATCTGAATTTATTCGCTCTAAAATTAAATTTTGGAACTAAATCACGTACAGTTAAAAAATTAATTGCATATTTTTAATATTAAAATCCAATTTT